GGTGATATATATATATATATATATATATATACAATTATTTGTTAACACTGGCCATCTTTTCTGTATGTTTAACAGCAAATGAACTAAACTAGCAACACAACTGCACTAAGTGATCAATATCTGTTTCAGGACCATTTTTGCATAAATTTTCTGCCAACTTTTCAGAATTCCATGCCACTTATATCGAAAGATAAATCTCACTACCAGATAACACATAAAGACAATTACCACTTTCTACAATGGGCTCGATCAACTTGACCAACCTCGTAACCTCAAAATAACCATCAGTTTCCATATTATAACTTTTAATATGGTAGGTGTATCTCTACAAAATTTGGCAAGTTTTCAGTAAACATTACAAGTATTTTGCACACAAAAAAACAGGTTAATTAATTAATTATTCTTATTAAAGATCTGTCCATGAATATATGAAATCAGAGTGTTGACTGCTCCAAGTACAAAGTGATTTTCATTTTAATATAAAAAATATTTTTCTTAATCTGAAAATTTTCAAATTTCATTTACATAGCCTCTAAAACCTCCTATATAAATACTAAACATTTTTTCAGTAAAACTTTACATTTTATTTTATTATCTCAAATTGACCAACCTTGTAAAAACCATAAAAGATATGGTATAAACCTAAATTCCCCTTTTTTCTTTTTAGAATGGCTGCAGATTGTAGCAGCAACCTAATTTTTTTTATCTTAAATAGCTAAAAGCTGGTAACAGTATACATCTGTTTATAATTAATCTTATTGTTTTATTGCCTTTTGAACCATGTCTAACTAATAATCCTGCACACACATTGTAAATCACTTGACAAATGCATAGCTTATGTTACTTTACTGAATGATGTAATGCATAAATTGTGTGTAAACATGCATCATGATGAAATTTTATTTTATTTTCATTATCTTACCTAATCTTTTTTAACCTAATAAGTTTATAATTTTCACACTTTAGTTACTTTTATGACAATAAATAAAGAATATACATGAAAAACAAGAAATATAGTACTTATCTTTACCCTCTTGTGTTTTTGCTCTCAGTTGATTATGAAATTTGTCTACTTTTATTTTTATACTAATGGTACTAGTAGACTAAATAAAATTTGAATCTACTTGTTTTTCATATTAATGGTACTAATACACTAAATGATGTATGTTTACTTAAATAATGCAACTGAGAGCAAATAAAAATAACATACACAAAGCAAACAATGTCCTATAAGTGTTATAATTTAACAGGCTTTATACCTGTGGCATAATAGCATTGAAAAAATTATTTAAGCTTCTTGATCTTAACATCCCTAGAGAAACTTAAAAACTGAAGATGAAACTGACAATACTCTGTACTGAAAATAACGTAGCATCATATGTCATTGACAGATTAAAACTTTACCTCTTTATTGGTTAAAAATGATGTAGTATAAAATTTCAGAGATAATTATTGGCAATTTTTGAAAGAGAGGATGTGACAAGTGGATCTGATTTTCTAGCTTATGACTGTAAACAAATAAGACTATGGGACACAAATATAAATTTTGGCAGGGTAGGAGTCATCTCCAGCTAAGACAGTTGTATTTCTCTAACAGGAATGGGTTGCCTTTGGATGTTGTGGAGGCATTAAATTTAAGTGAGTTTAGGGAAAAGCTTGATAAGTATATGAATGATAAGGACTGGCTTTAAGGTTTATTTTAAAATTATTTTAATTTAGTTTTGAGGATGGAACAGCTGAGATGGACTAACAGGTAAGCGGAGGTAAGTATGTTTTGGAATTAGCTTCAAATTATTGGCTAGCAAATGAACCTTTAAACACAGTCCTAGAATTTTACATATATCTAGGATAGATACAACCAGTCATAAGTTAAACCACAGTAAGTTAAATACATTAATATAATTCCTTCAATAAAAATTCAACAAGCAAGGATACTAATATTTACCTTTTTTGAAAGTGAATCTACTTCTTCAGAGATTTCTTCAATATTTACATTTTCATTAATTAAATTACATTTTTCTTCCATTAACTCTACTATTTTGCTGCCACCACCATCAACTACACATGTCTGTTTCTGGTCTGACTGATTACTTTTTATTTGTTCTTCAGGATGGTCACCATTTGCTGTGGTATCCAAGTCACTTTTTGTCATGGCAAAGAGATAATTTAAAGAACCAACTGAAAATGTATTACTCAATTGTTCTCCGGAGATTTTTTCATTTATTGGTACAACTCCTAATCCTGATACTGAAGACATTACCAATTCAGTATCCATCTTTCTAGTTAACTCTTCATCCAGTTTAGTTATAGATTTCTCCCACTGATTAGATCTTTCCTCTTCTTGATCTTTAACAATTTGTTGATTTACTCTTTCTTCTTTCTTTTGTACGTCAAGTGCTTCAGATATCAAAATTTCTGGAGAGAGGTCCAGCTGACATGAGTTATTTATCTGGAGAGTTTGTCCTTCTGTGCTCCAAGAATAAGGTTCAGAAACAGCCTTTTCCACAATGCTGTGGTGGTTACTGTCCTTACTTTGCATTTTTTCTTCCTCAGTGACTGGTTGTGTTGTGTTATCAGACATGTTACTACTATTTTCTTCAGTTTCTCTTGTTTGAATGTTCTCTATTTTAGAATTATTAATATAATCTTCAAAATCATGTTTTACAGTTCCAAATATTGAATCACTGAATTCAGTAACTAAGTTATTATTGGTCACCAAGGATGAATCTTTATCCAATTGTTCAAGACAATGGTCTTCTGTTTTTTCAACAGCTGACAGCACAACACAAATATCTCCAGTCTTACTTCTAGAACTTCTGGTACAGATAGTGCTAGTTCCCCTCTTACCAACTCTTCTTCTCTGGCCTTTGCCTCTGCCCTGATTTCGTCGTCTTCCAACCATTCTATGCTTATATACCTATGGGATAACTTCCGAAGGTTAAAACAGCTTGAAAATATCAATACATATATCTAAAAAAATATATATTCACGTTGAAAAATATAAATAATCACAATTGTATTAAATGCTTTTGAAATATACCCAATAACTGGAATTATTCTAAAGAGTTGACTAAGTAACTCCTTCAAATTGAGGATACTAAAAATTTGCTTTATGTGAACATCATGTATATATACACTTACACTGTACATGTCCTCAATTATAAAATTACTGTTCATAAAGTTAGAGCTACTTGCTTTTTTCAGTGTCACAAATCCAGAGAAGCACTTAAGACTACAATACCAAATTTATTAAAAGTTTTAAGTACTGAACAGTGCCAAATGACAATTCCAAATAACTATTACATATATTATCTGTAGATACACAATATATTTATTTTTAATTTGGGGAAATGCACTTCATGGCCCTCTTTAATTTTCATGTTTAGTTGTGTTAAGTACCTGATGATGCCATATTAACAGTGTCAAAACATTGTTATATAGATGAACAGAGTTGTTTAAACATTTGTTTAACAACAATTAAAAACTTGAAATGGTCTATTCTTTCATTGGGGATGTGTCTGTGGGCCAGACTAATTTTGGAGAATTCCACTCCTCATCAGTGACCCTGGACACAACCACCAAATAAAACTTCAGACCAAACCAAGCCTTTATAGTAGTGAGATATCAAAAATCGAAAGGGTGTTTTTAAGTGTTTTTACACTCACAAAAAAGAAGGCTATCATTCTATAAGTATTTGAAAAACTTGTAGCATTCTACCACAATTTAATTCTTCATATTTTTAGCCAACACTAAGCAGCTGATACATAATTGAATAGAGTTGTTTAAACATTTGTTTAACAACAAATTGTGGCTGTTGTGCCTAGTGTCGGCTAAAAATATGAAGAATTAAATTGTGGCAGAATGCTACAAATTCTTCAAATACCTACAGAATGATAGGTTTCTTTTTTGTTAGTGTAAAAAACACTTAAAAACACCATTTCAAAAACACTGTTATATTTTTATTTTTTTATTCCCATTTTAGCTTTCTGAATTTTACACTTTTTTGTATTATTTTTGATTCATTATCATGTTTCTGAGCATTAAAATGTAACTAAAGGATAAGAGCATTTATAGCATTATTTACATTACTGATGAATAATAAGCAAAAAACTACTGTACTAATATAAGAACATAAATATTAGAGTGACCCTTATTTTCGAATTTCATACACCAATTTTTAGCAAAATACTATTACTATTAGACTTCATTACCAAGATTTCAGATTTTAAAATGCAATGGTAAAGGCAGTCAGATCTTGGAAGATAGAAAACAAGGTCTAAATCATGCCTTGAACACTGGGAACACAAATGGGGCCTGTGTCCTTATTGAAAAACTGGAGAAAAGCTTGTTCAGTTTGCCTGCAGGCATCACATCTTTGAGCTGATACTGGAAGCAGAATTCTCAATTCCCAAACAAACATTAGCTTGGCCACATATCTTGCTCTTCAAGCACTTTCTGGAGAAAGAAGGGTTTTAGACTGTGATGGATGACAACACTACAGCTTCTGCTGTCTTGATGTCCATGATGAAATTCTTGCATTCGTTGAAGATACACCGGACTCAGTAACCCAGAGATTACTATAGGTAGGGAGTCTCGGAGAATTATTGTTCTTGGCCATGGAAGTATGTGAACGCAAAATCACATTTGTGAATATTTAAATCTTCGATAAACAAAATACTAATTATTGTACACCAAACAACAAAGGAAAAATGTCTACAGTACTAATACATGCTGAGTTTGCATTATTTATTTCAAGGCAACCATACTTCCACTTGTGGTAAATCACCTTTATAAAACTTGTGATAATCACTAAACCTTCCCTCTGCCATTTGCCAGAGACCAGGAAGAGAATCTTAAAACCAAAAACAGAGTCAGTTAAAATTGGCTGGACAAATAAGGATCAGTGATACATTATATGATAGCTTTCTTCATGCTCTACTTTGGTCTGGGTAGTTTCATTGGATCCAGAAGCATTTACTATTTGAAAACACCCATACAAAACTTTAAAAACCATTTAAAATTCTTTTTAGACATTGAATTTGTAGAAACAAACCTATACAACAAATTTTGTGGTGCGTATTACATAATGCAAACATATGTCTGTCCCAATCGATCCAACAGCATGTCAAAACGCAAATGGGGATTGTAAGCAGACTATTTGTTGGCCTGGCAACAACTTGTTTACATCATATTATCAAGCATAAACAGACAATATGTTGTCCTGACAACAGTTTACTATACATCATATCATTGGGTGTGGCTAGAGCAAAAGAACATGTGGAACAATAGTTATAATACAAGTTGTATGAATGATGTTTCAATTACATCATGGCATAACACAGAACAGGTAGAGTTTACTACTGGTACGTATCTGTCAATCACTGCATTTCAACTTTACAACCAATGTGATTAAAGAATCTTTCCTATACTTTCATAGGTATATAGGTAAGGTCATACTTCATTTTTAATTTCTGATTGTTGACAGTTTTCATTTCATTTATCCATATAATATGAATCCACATATACAAGTTTGAAATTAATGGATTTTATTGGGACTACATTTTATCTTGCCTTCACACGAGTTTCATGCAGTCTCAGGTTACTAGGTTAAGCAATAATTTTATATCAATCACTGACATTTTGTTAATATTGTTCCAATAGGAAGGTCACATAGTGTAAAAGGTCGACATACAGGAACGATTTTCGTTTTTCATTAATTATTCACTACATAATTGAACTTGCAGTATATATCTACTATATTTTAACTGTGGAATCCAATTGTGTGTGAATTGTTTTGTTATTTTCATTATCTAAAATGACCCAAACTCCCTACTACAGGGAACTCTTAGAGTTGGAAATGATTTTTCTCAGAGGGATACATTGTGCCAGGAGGATGATGAAAGCCATCTATGCTCTCAAAGTTCCAAGACTAGACCTCATGATCAGAGAGAAGGCAGTGATGCAAAGAATTTGCATATTCGTGTCTACCATATTCCACTTCAAATAACGACCTGCAGCTCATTCAGGTTCTTCAAGCTTAGGTGACCTTGGATCCATAGATTGCCGACACCAAACTGAAGAAATTCACTTGCCACCTCTGGTATTTGTCTGAGGCACTCATAACGCTCACCTTCTTTGATGATGATGTGTCTATGGACACCAAGAGACATATAGCCCAATCTCTTGAGAACCACAGGAATGAAACTCAGCAGGATATAGCAATGGTTGAAGTTGAAGCCTTAGAAAACTGTGTCACAGCCAACAGCCTCTTGTTTTTCAAAATCATGGGCATCAAATTGTATTCCTTCCTCTCCAAGAATCCAGGCTAATGGGAACAAAATGAAGAGTTACTGAAGGTCAAAGAAACATGCAAACAGCTCTTGGTTATCAGTGACGCCAGTGAACACGACCTCACAGGAGAATACAGCTGGCTTCATATCACAGACAAGTACCAAAAACAATCCTTTCTTTTGGGGGTCAAGGAGCACAGGAAGAAATTCCCTTAAGCACAGAAGAAAGCCATCATAAAAGCTGTAGAAGTGAGTGTTGTTTGATTCTGTATGATGGGAGCATACAAGCAGATTCACAATTCATTTTACTATGATTCTAGAGTAAATTTGTTTATGACAAATGTTTTTTCATCCTTTTTCATCCCATATGCAGCTTTTTGTTTGTTTTGGTAACAACACAAGAGGAGAAATTTCAAGGGATGGTAGCAAATCTTTAACATGCTTTGATTCCATTAAAATTTTGTCTACTCACATTCTGGTCATTCCTTATAAAAGTGTTGGGGTGAAAAGAAATTACTACTTTTTATTTTTACTCTTTGGATAAGGACCTCCCTAAAAAATATATTTAATTAGATGTACTCATTATCTTGTTTATGTTTAGTTTTGATCTACATAGGTAGCTTGTTCTGACTGAAGGTTAATATTAATAATCCAAGAAGACCTCCAAATTACTTCCTACATTGTTAATATGAATGCATTAATAATATGCCCATCTAATATGATCCAGGTTGATCACAGCTATATCTAATGTACCACATTCAAGCAGATTACTTAAAATCTCACTTCATAAATTTAAAAAATGTAGAATTGTAATAACTTGATAAATGTGGAAATAACTAGCAAAAGACACAGTCATATTCCTTCAACCAAATATAATTGTTCACACTTACGAATAATTTTCAATAGAAAAAAAAAAGTCTCACAGCTGTCCCTTAAAATTTTCCTGTAATTTTTATACAAAGAAACACATGAACAACACTGCGTGAATCAAACAAACTCACCTAAGAACTACATCTACACATAAATCTATTTTACATATAGAATACTATCACACAAACTGCAACCATTTTATTTGTACAATATAAATATTCCTAACCTGAAGCAAGTATAACAATCACAGATAAACATAATAGGGGTTTTATTACTTGATGTAAGTCAGGGTGATTTGCTTAATATTGTTGAAAATGAAGCTTAAAACAAAGTCACTTTTAAGAAATAATTTTGTTCAAATTCTATGCCAAGCTTTCCACAGATTACAAGTTTTAGATGTCATTCCAATGTCAAATCAAACCTTACAAAATTTTTCCTAGAAAGATGAAATTTCTAAAGTTCTGAGATCACTAACTGTTTATAAGTATGTCTTTTCATTAGGCTATACTGTCTCATCCAGTAGTTGTCTGTTAACTAAGAACTATTAACATATAGTTTTCTCATATTATAATACTCATGAGTCTTTGCACAAGCAAACTGAATGTGATCATCCAACTTTAAAATAACATTATGACACTAACATATCAAGCAATGAACAAGATAAAAATATACAAGATGTTACTCCTACTAAAAATGTTACATAGCGAAGATGAATACAAACCACATTTTCTGATGTTATTAAGTTAAAATTACGTTAAATGTCACAATCTTCCAGAACAAAAATTATATATATATATACATATTTAGGTTAGCAAGAACATAACAAAACATGAACACTGTTCTGAAATCTCTTTAAGTTGTAATAAATAAAAAACCATTAACAAGGAGCTCAAAAAAACAAGTCATTATATCCTATTTACCAGTTAAATTATATTTATAAGAAAGTTAGTCCACTGAAATAAATATAAATATTTATATATAGATAACTGTGATACAGATATAAAAAAAAAGGATGTCATTTCTCATATTTAATTAATGTTAATGAAAACATTATTTCATTTTACATAATTTGACAAAATCAAATACTGGTGGTGGTGTGGAATGTTCTTTAAAATTTTGTCCAAGGGACTAAATGCTAGAAAAATGTACTTGTTCTTAAAAATCTAATTGCCCCTACCCATACCACAAAACACACAAATTACAAATAGAATATAACTTTTAGGATTTTGCTTTTATTTAATAGTGACTAGTAGATGAAAGAAATACTGGGATTGAGAAACAGAGACCCAAGTGTTTACATAACTTCTGTAACTATATATCTATAGTGTTTATTTATTATAATTTATGCATTATTCTGCGGGCACAACACAGAGGCACTGTAATGGACTAAAAATATGGCTCTACAACCAGATAATGATGTGCTTTAGTTAAAATTACAATACATAAATGCTTTCTAGAAGTATCGGATTCATAACATGTGAAATAATAAAACATCAATTCTTCTTTTTGCTATATTCTGTGTATGTTGCCAACTACTGAATTTGTTTACACTGTGTAATTAATAATTTAGATGTATCTGAGCAATAATAATCATTCATATTTGATTTATATATTTATAATTCTGCAGGTATCACCAAAACTGTTAATATTACGAAATCAAAAATTTACTCCTTATTAAATAATAACATTATAGATTATTAATAAAATTCCATAAATCTATTTTACTTTTTGGCAAAACCCTTTATGCAAAAGTTAGCTATAGTATACCTCTATCTTCTTTGACTAAGCTAACGTAGAAACTGTTTTCTAAGAAGAGATTCTGGGGAAACCAAAAAAAATAAATAATGCTTTATAGGCCAATTAATTTGGCTGAATTCTGTTGTTAACAAGCCATTAATATTTAGATTAAAACCCATTATCAGAGATCAAGTGAAAAACCACCTTGAAAGAATGAATTTGATTAAAAAGTCTCTGCATGGCTTCAGAAAGGAATTTTTTTTGTTTATTTCTGTATTCTAGTCTGGTTTTTGCACGAAAGGATTGGGGTAAACCTTAACGCCTGTAAGGCCTATCTAGCAGTCATACTACTACTAGTTTAACTTTTTAATTTAATATTAAAGTTTAAGGCCTTCAATAAAGCTCTTCGCAGAACGTTAATTTGTTTTGTTTACCTGGGATCACAGTTCAGCTTCAGACGATTCAAATGTTTAATTATAATTTTTTACTCTAGAAACTGGAAATTGTGTGGAATTGTTTTACAAAATACATTTAGTGTTACAGTACACATTGATAAGTTTTAAGTTTCATTTTAAAAACATATATGAAACTATTTGCTAACTGAATTGTATACTAATAGTATTAATATAAGTATAAAAAAATGTAAAAGGCCAATCCTGAAATTCATTTGAACAAACACTTAATTTAGTTATAACTTGTATGTTCAGCACTAGTCCTAACTTACTTCTAGTGTTTGTACTAATTTCCTTTGAGGTTGGAGTACAGAATAATTTTCTTATTTCAGCACCAGAGGACCAACTATAAAACTCATTGTCATAAATCACTGCCTCCCGTTGACTCAGCTGTAAGTCTGGGGGCTTATAACGCTGAAATTTGAGTTTCGATGCCAGCAGCTTCTCCCGATGTCTTGAACTTGAAGCAATCTCCCAGTTAGCCTAAAATCAAAATCTACCTTTTTTTAATTATAAAACTCCTCCACGATAATCCAAAATTCTCTAAAGTTAGATGCCACTTAATCTTAACTCACGTAGTGGGGGGAAGAGAAACTGAAGTTTTTGACCGCCCCTGGTTACAAGTTATTTTAGTATTTAATAGGGATGTAGTATTAAAGGGGGGAGTGGCTTTATATGTAAAATGTGAATTACATCCTGTTGAAGTTGAGGATATCAAAGATAACAGCAAGGAGGTTGAATCCATTTGGGTTTCTATCAGTGGATGTAAATGGAAAAGGCTTTTAGTGGGAATTTATTGCAGACCATCAAATGATACTGATGAAATTAGTGAGAAACTTTACAATGAGATTAATATTTAAGCTGTTAATGAAGTGATCATTTTGAGTGATTTTAATTTCAGGCATATATATTGGGAAATGCTAGAGTCAAACCATGAAGGTTTGTTTGTTTGTAATTAAGCACAAAGCTACACAACGGCTATCTGTGCTCTGCCCACCACAGGTATCGAAACCCAGTTTCTAGCATGTAAGTCCGCAAACATACCACTATGCAACTGGGGGGCAACCATGAAGGAGAAAGGTTTTTGGAAACTGTTCAGGATGGCTTTCTTCACCATTAGTCAAGGAACCTACTAGAAACAATGCTATTGTTGCGTCAGCGAGTCACGTGACTACCATGACGCAACGTTTCTAGAAC